GCTTTTAGCCAATCTGTCAAGTCAACAGCTCAGCATAACAATGAACATTGATGTTGCCCTGGTGAAACATCCTTATTACTTGCTGATACTCCATGTCAATGAGTTTCTCTGACTGCTTTTGCCATGGATGTAGATATTCTCTTTCGGTCTCAGAGGAACTTTTCTTTTCACTTACTAGATCAGTGGTTCTCAAACTGGGGTCCCCAGAGGTTCTTGGACTGCAATCCCCAGAAGCCTCCACCACTTGCTGTGCTGGCCAAGATTTCTGGAAGCTAGTCCAAGAACATCTGGGGACCCAAGATTGAAAACCATTGTACAGCGGTGCCTCGCAAGACCGGCGGTCCGTTTAACAACGAATCTGCATTGCAAGTAGGTCCGAGATCAAATCAAGTCTGGAGGAAAAACTGTTGGCACTCAAGCTGTCCTACTTTGAGCACATCATGAAAATACAGAGTTCTCTAGAAAAGACAATAATGCTGGGAAAGGTGGAAGGCAGCAGGAAAAGTGGAAGACCAAATGTGAGATGGACCGACTTTCTAAGGGAACCACAAACTTGCATTTGCAAAAGCTGACCAGGGCTACTGTGGACAGAATATTTTGGAGATCACTCATCCATGAGTGAGCGGCAACTAGACAGTACATGACAACAGCGGGAACAGCAACAGCAACAACAAGTATCACACTCATTGTCAGTCATTTGATGATCAGAAGAAAAAAAATTCCATTATCATCCATCCTTCGATGATCAGAAGTGCTTGCTGTTTAGTTACACACAAATGTCTACTCAACTAATAAACTTTATTATAGCCAGTGACCAATATCCACAATACAAACAAGCCATAAATGCATAAAATATATTGTTCCAAGGAGCTGTGTTCCTATATACCTAAAACTATAATAATAAATTAATTAAAATATCCTAGCAACATAATTAGTATTATTGCTGTTTAGTTATACTTAGATACAGTCATGTGAAAATGAAAATATGGTGTCTTTGAATTCTATGGTTTTACATATCAGGACATAATAAAAAATCATCTGGTCCTTAGCAGGTCTGAAAATTAGATAAATACAACCTCAAATGGACATCAACACATGACATATTACACCATGTCACAATTTATTTTACAAAAATGGAGAAACCATATGTGAAAAACATAAGTGCACCTTATGATTATATGCTACATTTTTAGCTACAAGCTGCCTGGAGTATTCTGGGATTTTGTTCATTAAATAAGAGAAACAATTCCTTCAACCCTGAGTGTTCACTGGAAGGACAGATCCTGAAACTGAGGTTCCAATACTTTGGCCTTCTCATGAGAAGAGAAGACTCCCTGGAAAAGACCCTGATGTTGGGAAAGTGTGAAGGCAAGAGGAGAAGGGGATGACAGAGGATGAGACGGTTGGACAGTGTCACAGAAGCTACCAACATGAATTTGACCAAACTCCGGGAGGCAGTGGAAGACAGGAGGGCCTGGCGTGCTCTGGTTCATGGGGTCACAAAGAGTCAGACACGACTTAGTGACTTAGAAACAACAAACAATTCTTGTATTTGTTCTTACCTGAATCTTGACTCACTCATGTGCATGTTTCTGATGGCATGGAATCACCTACCACTCCACAGCACAAGTACACATGTGCTTATGGAACTGAGATCCTCTTACCCAGAGCCCGAAAATAATGCCTTAGATTTAACACAGCATTCAATCTTCACTTTGGCACAAACAGGGCAAGAAGCCAAGTGATAGCATCTAAAAAAATTATTCTTGAAAGTGACATCTTTAATGTTATACTTTTTTAAAAAAAATATATGCATCCTTCCTTCCTCTCCAGTGCCTTTGTGCGCCAGCAGCATACAGATAACTTCATAAAGCAAAATATCCTGTGTAGAATAACAATGAAACCATGGCAGCATAGTAGTGGCACCAGGACTCCTTGGGTGAAAGTTTTGGGACTTCTTGTACAGAAGGGGTGATGATGCATCACTGCAGGCAACTCTAAAAAAGACAGAAGCATTTGAAACAAGGATTAATCTTAGGAGGCTAAGAATACTGTATATTGGATTGTGTGTTATAACAAGACATACAAAATACAGGAATCTGGACTATTTTGGCCATGTAGTGCTGATTATGACAGCTGATCATTCATGGTGGTACAATAAACTGGAAAAGTCCACAAAGAGGAAGAATGTTTTTGGTGAAGAACCAGGCTGTCTGTTCTGGGATTCAACACAAGATCATTGTTTAGCGTTGTCAAATCCTAAGTCATTGTAGCCATTATGACATCCAACTTCCAGTGGGAGAGGAAGAGGAGGAGGAAGAGCAAAAAGAAGAAAGTGGAGGAAGAGGAGGTGGTCATCTGTGGCCACTACCATTATGGCTCCCTGTGAGCAGTTCTGCTAGGAGTGCCGGACACTCATTCAAGCACAATTGCAAAGGATGTGGCCTCTTGGGGGACCCCAAGAGTGAGTCAGTGCAGCACCGAACCCCAGGATGCTACCCATTCCGATTTTTAAAAATGGTTCCATCCCTGTCATCACATCTTCTGTGAATGGCTCATCATTTCCCTTGGATTGCTTGGACCTGATGTTACAGAAAACCATAATAGAAGAGTGCAGTTTGACTGCCATCTGTTGGCCAATGTTCACTGTTGCTATCCTGTATGCTAACAATTATAAACTGGTTCTGTCCACTCTAATAAGGCCAAAATAGCATCATCAACACATAAGAGACAGAGAAAGAGTAATTAAGCATTGGGGGGGAGAGACCCACATTTCTACATAGGGAAGAAAGACATGGAGAAAACATTGGGGGGGGGAATGATGTCTGAAAGCAGTTTAATGAGAACTAAGCATACTTAGCAGAAACATTTAAAATATCAGACAAGAGGGGAAAGGTGGAGTACATCTGGCTGGCGAGATCCTTGAAGAGGAACACTTTGTACTGCAAAGTTTTGTTGTAGGTCCTGTTTGCAACCAGCGGACTTTTTCAATCTAAAAAATGAGGTTGGAGGAAGTGTCATGAAATTTGTTTCTCATCTGTTGTTGCTGCCGCCACCATCTGTTTGCAATGCTGGTGGTGGTAGAAGTCACCTGCTAAGTGCCATGTTTGGTTTTATCCACAAGTCCATCTGATCTCGCTATGCGACGATATAGATTTTGCTGTGTGAGGATCTCTGGAGCCAAATCAGAGCAAGTTCAGTGTTTCTTACTTTCTATCAATCTTGTTTCCTCTAGGTCAGTGGTTCCCAACCTTGAATCCCTAGATGTTCTTGGACTGAAACTCCCAGAAGCATTCACCACTAGCTGTGTTGGCCAGGGTTCCTGGGAGTTGTAGTCCAAGAACATCTGGGGAACCATTGCTCTAGGTAAAAGCAATTACCAGTGAGCATAATTGCCAGTGTTTTCAGAACCAGTGCTAAGTAAAGCAAACTGTCTAGGGATCTTGAAGGGTGACACAGAGCAGAGAAATGGCAGAATGAGAATGGATTGTACAGTGATTTTTTTTTTTTTAAAAAAAATCCTGATCCTTTCCTTCTAACTTTCGTTCACCTGTGGCTGCTTTTCATTAGAAGGATAAGAACAGCCAAAAGTGTCTAAAGCATGTCGGTTGGCCTTGGCGACCGATTTTAGTTGTGTCTACTTAAATTTGCTTCCTTCTTGAACAGTTCGCCTTGATGTGTCATTCTGATATAAAACAGGCAAATCAAAATAACTTTGGGTGAGTTGCACTTCTCTGCAGCCACAGGTTAGAAGAATATTGACACTTAGACAGATTTAGACTAGGAAATCAATGTCATGCGCTACAATTTCCAGGGTTGGGGTGAAAAACATTGTAAAAATAGATAGTATCGAATGACTGCCATAGGGCGAAAAAAATATCAGTCATCTTCCTTCTGCTGTCCAGAATGGCCTTGCTGAGTTGGATTCCTTTTGCTGGGGCATGGCTGACCTTCAGCAAGTTATTAGTTCTGTGTGGCGTATGTCATAGGTTGCAATAAGTATGTGTACAAGTCACAAAATCAGATAAGGAGAGAGCTTATTGATTGGAAAACTCAGCGGTCTCGGAGACCTAAGCCCGGGCAAGCTACTAATAGCAGAGTTTCCACTATGTTCCAGAACTCTGAAACAGGAGAGCCGACTCAATGCTTTGTAGGAATACTCTGCAGGAAACTGGTTGCAACGCACTCACAACAGTGCTGAAAAGAACGGCATCCTCAGCATGTGGTAACAAAGTGCTTTTTCTTTTTTAAAAAAGTCACATGTTAACAAGATTACATGTCCATTCTTTGAAGCTGGGCAATTTGGCCCAGTCATAAAATTTGCTGGTTTTTCATTCCCTGAGGGACAAAACATGGGGCCAAAAGGCAAGTATCAGATGTGGCTGCATCATTCCATGTGTGCATTTGTGTGTGAATGCATGAGAAAATGAGACAGATAATGCTAATTTCCTGTATTGTCTCTCAAAAGTACAAATACCTGAGCCACTAAACCCTGGAACAAGTGGGAATGAGGGAAAAGAGAAGTGTTGATAGGCATTAAAGCCAACATCAAGCTTTCTTCTCACCTCAATACATTCTGGTTCCAGCAGCACCAGTATTCTTGGGTTTACGGAAACATGGCTGAGAACACTTTGGCCGTTGCCTCCACAAGTAGACAGAATCGGTAGTGATCACACTCCCACCTGATCAAAGACAAGAATGAGGAAAGAGGGAGAAGTTGACAGCCAATGAGTACATGGCTCATTATGCCATTTGGCACAAACTAAGGAATGAGATACCAGTATCATGACTTAAGAGCTTCCATGTTACAAAAATCATAGTGGCAGGAGCAAAGAGACCTCCATGTGGTTTTGTGGTGGGACTTCCATAAGCTCCCGCAGAAATGGTTGAGCTTGGCAAAGCCCCCCTTGGATTCTGTGCAAGACCATGTTAGATGTGAGTGGAACATTCTCCAGGTTCTGTGGAGCTGTATTCTTTACATGAACATCTCAAACACAGTGTACCTGTAAGAAAAATTAAATATCTAAATGTCTTCCTGAACCAAGATGAGTCTGGAACAAAGTCTGACCTACCTTTATCATTCAAGGTGAGAGATCCACAGCGCAAAGAAAACAGCTTCAGATGTATAATCTTTAAAGCCCTAAAATAAAATACAAATTCAGATACAAGTATATAATATCATAGTATGGATTTACCCTTCCAGTGCTCCCACTGTGCAACATGTTGAATTTCTGTTACCTAAACCAAGGTGATAAGGGCTTGTATCATCTGCCAGGAACATAGCAGGTCCTGCCACCTCCAACTTTCTCTCTTTTACTCTCTTTTTAAAAGAAATTTTTTAATCTTCCTGAAACACTCCCCACCCCTCACTGGGTTAAACCAAACAGTCCATAAGGGTTACATAGCCGCCTAGAGTGGTCCGGTGGGCCAGATAGGCGGGGTATAAATCAAATAAATAAATACATAAATACTACATAAATGCTAATAAGAATGGTAGTATCAGCTGACTGCACTTTGGCTCCTGTCAATCTTTTTTGTTTGTTTAAAGGGTCTTCCTTACCTGCTCCAGCTCTGGAGTAATATTGTCAGTCACTCTCAGAGACATTTACCCAGCTTTCCCTTCTGACCATTTCCACAGTCAGCTGTCCCAGAAGCATTGCCACGCCCCCTTCAATCCTCGTCTGCTCTCCCTCTGTGACATCACAAGGTCCCTCTCACTATGGCAAAGGTCTACCCCATGATGTCATAAGTCTCCACTCTGTAGTCTGATGTTTTGGCCCCCCAATCTCAGGGAATGAGTTACGTCTGAACATAACTATTTTCCCCCATTTCTTATAAAGAAACAAACTCATCACTTTCTATAATGAAAGCATTCTGGGCCTGTTTCAGCAGCCAAAACTGAGCAGGAGCACATAGCCTTTCCATACCATGGTCTCATCCTGTTTACTACTACAAGCTTTCACCACTTCCATAATATGGCACAGGACACCAGCAGGTTCAGTTTATTGTTACTGCTGTTCAACATTTTGTGTAGGGTCACAAATCCACTGTGATCTACTGCAAATCACCACCAAATCAACAAGTAGTTCCAGATCTACCTTTTATCCACCTGTGCCTTGCATCTTCTACTAGAGGCATTATCTGGTTTGACCTCACATTGTAATAGGAAAGGTCGAAGGCGAAGCTTTGCTTCGCTTGGAGGCAAGACTGAGTTCAGACAGACCTCCACTGCCTCTTTTCTGAAAATTAAGCTGTGCTTGGTGTTAACAGTATTGTTGCCTGCTGAAAGCTCACAGAATTGGGCAAGATAAAAATCTAGATGGCAATAAATTTGAAGTGGAGGTAGAGTTCTGAGGCATGGACCAAAGGTGCTAATTAGTGCCAACTGTGATGATAATCATCTTCATGACACACAGGATAACCTCATCTATCTAAACAGCACATGGGTCATCTAAATCATTAGATGCCATTTCTTTTTAAAGTGCTTTCCCCCCCCAGACAGCTAAATGAGAGACACATGGTGAATTCAGATAATGAGAATGATCAGAGAATTCAGAAAACAATATTCTCCACCTGTTGGAGACAGAAGACCAATATTACTCAAAGGATAGTCACTAGGATAGCAATTGTCTGTGGAGTGGGAGTGGGAAGCAGGACAATGGTAATGGTGCTCAACAACAGACTACAACAGACTAGCAGTCTCTGTATGTATAGAAACTGAACATGCATACAGAGCATCTAGGCATATGGTTTTTGCAAGAATTACAGAGTTGGAAAGGAGCCAAAACAGCAGTGCAAGAAATCTGATATTTTAGAACTCCTGACGGGGTAATCCAAAATTCCCTTACAAACCATCAATAAAGCAGAAATCTCTCTCTGAACTGGCCTCTCCCTGTTCATAAGCAGGGAATGGCCACCAGGGCTTTGACTCAGGATACAAAAATGCTTGTTGCTACTGGAAAGGTGTGAATCTATCCACCAAGAACATGTATTTGATGCCCAGCTACTCCTCCCCAGGCAGAAGGAACAGGATGTCTCAGTGTATAGCTGTTGTATGCTCAGATCCATGTGTTCTTCCCCATTCATCTATTTTCTCTCTGTGTATGCTTATCTCGCACAACCCAAGCTGAATCATATTAGGACAACAATGTTCTTGGTGCCAAAATCGCTACTTGTGGCTCGAAGCCTGTTGTGCTGTCAGAAAGTTCCTTCTAACCTGGGTTAAAATTCCCTTTCTTGCAATGTGAACCCATTGATTCAGCTCCGACCCACTGGAGCAACAGTGAAACTGCTCCATTAACTATGTGACACTCCTTCAAGTATTTGAAGATACTTGAAGGAGGCTTTCATACTGCCTCTTAACACTCTCCTTTCCAGGCAAAACCCACCTCTTCCTCCTACCTTTCCTTGTAGAACTTTGGATAAAATGAAATGATACAGTTATCAAATCATTACAACTGATGTTTTTTAGGTGGCAAAATATATATGTTGGTCACAGTATGGACTTCCCTTCACCTTTGTATCTTGCGTTCCAGCAAGCTTTGTTTCATGACAGGACATTAGAAGGTTTGGAACTAATGGTTTGGATATGGTTTCCTAAGATTTTTTTGGTGGTGAGATCTCAGTTTTGGCTAGGGTATGAATAGTTGGGGAAGATTCATGACTGTCCATCAAGGAGTATCTGCAAAGCAGTTGTTGAGGATGGGGAATGAAGCCAAAAAAGGGGAGAATTGCAAGTGTCTGTTCGGAAGTAGCTCAAAGTTGGGTTGGTGGCCATATGTCTTATTTTTACAGTGGATTTTTAAAGGCATTCCTCTGTTTGATGGTATCCTCTGTCTAAAGTGTGGTTGCACACATGTAGCACTCCACAACACTTATCAAGAGGTGAGAGAAGGAGGAAGTGATGATGGTGGGCCATTCACCCCTCCCTCAGCTGCCACCTGCCTCTATCCCCTAATCTCTTTTCAGTCCAATATAAATGTGTTGGTCCTGAGGGCCTGGGTAGGTGGGACTCGTCAGCCTAGGAAGGCAGCCCATCTAGGAGAGGGAAAATTCTGATGCCAAACCCCCATGCCATGAGGAGGACGATGATGAGGAGGAGGAGGCGCCATCATCCATGTGGCAAGGGAGCAGGTCGGGTAGGGTGGGCTGGTTAGCCTTGGAAGGCAACCCATCTAGGAGAAGGAAAACTCCGATTCCAAATCTCCACTGCCTTGTGGCTGTATCCACTGATGGAAAAGGCTTCAGGAGTTAACCTAGAGGCAAAATCCGGAGCTGGAGTCTCAGAGGCAGTTTGTGTCGTTCTGTCAACTCCTGCGACATCGCTGGAACCAGTTGTATTGGCTCTTGCCTTTCCATTGGACCATTTCAGCCACATGGAGAGGGGGGATTTGCTGGTTGGGTAACAGCCTATCCTCCATATTATTTTACCCAGGCTTCATGCTTGGAGAGGACACTTCAGCTTCTCATACAGCATCAAAGTCCTCCATACAGAGCACGTTACCATAGTCTCTCAAGACTGAAGGATGCCTATGACTGATTGGTCCTGAGGGCCAAGGCATGATGTATGGGTCAAAAAAATCACCCATGTATAGGGACCATGGCATGCGGGCAGGTGGTGGAAAAGATGACACCAGCAATAACAGCTGCCCAGATCAGGCAGCAGACAGGTGGATGGTGATGGTGATGATGGTTCAGCTCCTACCCACTGGAGCACTCAATGGCCTGAGATGGCTACCTGTGTCTGGCTTATGGCAAGGCTGGGCCCTGCCTTTCAGAGTTTTTGTGAATGGGAAGGAGATACTATGCCACTGAACGAAAGGTGAGATATAAATATAAACTGAATGTGAAGAGAAGAGGGAGTGGGAAGACTTAAAGCTTAAAAAGATTTTAAAAAACACTTAAAGAAGGGAGAACAGGGGCCTTGAAACTGCCTGTCTGGAGCGAGCCTCACAAGAGTAGGCTGAGAAGGCACACAAGTCACCTCATGACAGTCATAATTTATGAATGGGCATCCTTCCTATTAAGAAGTATTTTATGACTTTTATGGGGAGTTCCCCCCCCCAAAAAAAGAAGAGAGTTCAAAGAGGAAGAGGAGCTTACACTTTCAGTTCCTCTATTTTATTGTTCCTCCTCCTCCTTCTCTGCAAAACCATCTATTTGGACCTTCACAATTATGAGCACCCCATTTGTTTGCTCACCTCTTGCTGTCTTGCTGTCAGCTTCCTACGCTAAGGACATATAATAGTTCCTTATTCAAATCTCACATCTTCCAGATCACACTGGCATCCATGGGAAGCCAAATCAGTCCCAGTACTGATTTTACACCACTTGTATTGAGATTCGTTTTGTCTTAAGAATAACAACAAAGATTTTACATCATAAAGTGTTTCAGCCTCACCTGACAAAGACCAAATTAACAATCCCAAACCTCAAAATTCTTGGAAAATTCAAATATCTAGTGGAATAGAAAATGGAAGAGCCTTGGAATAGACTTCAAGGACAGGAATTAAAAAAAAAGAGAGAGAAACTATTCCGGATTGGACATTTTATTCTAGGGAAATGCAGCAGATTCAGTTGTGGTCCAACGTGTGGGTGAAATCAAACCCTTTCAGATTGGCTGAGGCATTTCCAAAGGTGGTACAACCGAAGTTGAAGGCCAGCTTCTTAACAGAATTTTCCAAAAGAAAAGAATCAAATGCTTATCAAATGATGAATGAGCACCCTATGAACAGACTAACCCACACATTTTCATGCCTCCATTTGTGGCATCAGGGAATCCTATTCGATGTGGTGGGCCAGAGCAAATGTGTCAAAACTTAGCTAAGCCTCTCCAGACTTGCTTGCCCTCTGATGCCACACCGCCTTTATGTAAAATGAAGGAGGAAAGTTGCAGAGGGAACCAATTTGATTTTATGATCAGGAAAAAGAGGTAATCCTCCCCGAGTGATGATTTTCCAGCAGGGAGTTGAGTACTACCATAAGCGGAAAATTCATTCCTATCTTTCCTTCTGCTCGGTAACAGGGTTTCAAATTGCCTTCCCCTCCCCTTCAGGTCCACTGAAGCACATCACCATGACACAATCTTTCTGATGCCACTTCAGCTCGCTCCTAAGAGCCCAGATTCTGATGGGCAAGGAGTGGAGAGAAAAAAAAAGAAAAAGAGCAAGATTCTGAATTTATTCTCTCAAAATGTGTCTCCTGGGGAAGTCCAGATGGCCAGTCTAAAAATGTAATCAGGAAAGGCCCCCAGCTCTGAGGGCTTGCAGGCAAATT